ACTAGATGCCTGGTTATCTTATCTCCCATTAGGTCACGTGATCATTGTGCGACGTGAAATGATAAAAAATGATATGCTTTCCTTTAGCATATGTTTCTGTTAGGACTTTGTCAGGTAAAACCGTGACAGTGACAACAGCCTCATCTACCTCACGAACTTTGTATGTCACCTTCATCATTTCGCTCATATTTATAATGGTTATCGATTTTCGGTCTGGCAAGCTCTCTCAGAAAGCTCGTTCAGCATGCACCGATGACTTAAGCAACATTAAGCACAATATACTCAAGTTTGTGCCACTGATAAAGGGCATTCTGACAATCGATGTCGACCACCCCAAGGAGCAGTGAGGATTTCATCACTTCGCAACTGCGCACCTCCTTTGTCCTCGTCGAATGAGAGATAAGTTCGATGAGGACCCTGGAAAGTACGTAATCATAATTCCTTTCACGTTTGCATTAATTTGTGTTGATGTATTCCAGATTTTGCAAAAACGTTATGCATGGCAACATCTGCATCAAAGCGTCTGACTTGCCGTCGATGATATATCCTGAAAAGGGGTACAACACTGATGCCATCGATGAGAATGCCCTTAAGAGTGATCTGCTGGCTTCCGTAAGTGTCGCATTCACCACCTACTTTGTAACTATTAACACTGACGGTCCAGTGCTTTCGAGCACTGTTTACTGGTCCAAGCAGTGGCAAACGTCCCGTCAATGCATCTGGTTCCAACAAGAAAAAGGGCAGCGGTCGCAATCCAATTGCGGTCACTTATCACATGAAAGAATGCAACAAATATCATGTTGCGTATGTGGCTACATTGGTACGTTATCTACAATCATTTGTTTAGATTGCTTATTGTTGGTTCAGGCACATTTCACACTGAACGCTCAGCGTGAATAGGCTGAATCTGACGGGGATTTCGATTATGAAGAATACTATAACTACATTCTCACCCTCTTCGACGACAAGAAGTGGTGCGAGGACACTTTGGATTGGTACAATGGGTGAGCATCATGCCTCATATGTATCTGGTTAGTATGCTAATCCTACAAATCTTCGTACTTATAGCGAGGTCTTCGGAAGTAGTTGTCGCAAACGTCATATCAACAGCATGTATGCACAAGATGATGGACCATCGTCAATGGACCTCCTTGCACAGCAGCGCGCTGCCAGAAAAGCATGCACACAAATGCTTATCTCACCGCAGTCGAGCAACAGCTCTATACCAGAGGATATAGTCCAGGATTACATAGAGATGGCCGATGGAATCTTGGATCAACCTGGACCTG